TTTTTTTCTCAAAACTGAAAACATCATTGGAAACGACTATCTTTCCCCTTCAAAACGCATTTTTTTATTTGTAAAAAGCTTTATTTTTCGCGGAGATATCGTCGATTAAAGATGATCAGTATAGCTACCTTATTAAACCATGGCTCGACCTATAACACAATATCACTAAGCGCTACGAGCCTTAGATGTCAGGAAGGTTAACCCCAAGCCCTGTAACTGAATAACACTAAGCGCTACAAGCCCTAACCACCAGGAAGGTTAATCCCAATAACCTAATAGGGCTTGGGATTAACCTTCCAGACATATAGGGCTTGGGGTTAACCTTCCTGACGATTAGGGCTCGCAGCGCTTAGTGTTATTGGGTTATAGGGCTTGAAGTTAACTTTCCTGATGATGAGGGCTCTCTTGTAATAATCCTCACCATTCAATCGATTAGGAACACAAACGGTCCGATTAGCCGATCGCCTAAAATGCCTGCCCAAACGTTGACGGAAAACCGAATCTGATGTCTGGACTGAAATATGCTGTGTGGGTTTTCATCAGCCCATTCACGAGCGTTATGAAAATTGACATAACTATCTTTACTGAAGGTTGCCTCATCCGTAAATGAAATAAGAGATGCAAAATTCGGAATCCGCCTCGATTTTCGCAAAAACCATTGGAAGAATTGCCGACGTGGTTCGTAGTCATTCGGATTTAAAGCTTGAACACGCTGGATATGAAAAGGATGAAGTAGTTGTTCGCAAAGAATTCGCCAAACTACGGAAAANTTCTTGTGGCGGTGTAGGCAGGGTGGCCAACCAGCCTTTACCGATTGGCGATTACTTAAAGAACTTTTCCGGTTTACTCCTAATTGCTCACAACTTTAGAATATCAATATCAAGATAGTTTTTTTTATAAATGATAACTGACGGCCATCTGATGGGCGCATATGTTTGATTTTATTTTACCATTTTTAATTTAATTGTCAATGTTGCCAAACGTCAAAAGCTGGGGCGCGTTCACAATTATTGTCGGTTGTATGCCGGGCACACGGTTCGTAAAAAAGACGGTCCAGTAATAGACTGAAATTATGGGCGTGGGTTATCTCATACTACGTCACAGGATTTCTAACCTTTAGGATTCATGTTTGTTTACATGCGACTTAAATAGTAATTTTGCATTTTTCTAAATATTTGTAAGTCTTTCATAGTTGTTTGGATATTTTGAAGTAATTAATTAGTTATTGATAATAGTTCTTAATAAGTTGATGGTGTAGTGTTTAATATAAACTATTAATTTACCACGTAAAAATGCCAGGTGTAGTGTTGCAATTTGCAATAATAATTTTTATAGTGCTAAACAAGAAAAAAAACTTTATTTAATGTGTTTCCCAAGGATAAAAACTTAGAAAGATATGGGTGGAACGGTGCAAAAGACGCGATTTGTTTAATGATACAACTGGACATATTTTGTAGTACACATTTTGAAGACTCAAACTTTGAACGCGATCTTCAAGCAAAGCTATTAAGTTTATCATCAGTTTAACTGATTGTATTCATTTTAAAAGGACTAAATTTATTGTTATTGTTGTATAACAAATTGATGTGATTGTTAGAAAAGCGATTGGAAATTTTAAGTAGGTACCTACCTATCTATCGAAATGTGATTTTAATATTTTTGTAAACTTGACAATTTTTCTTAACATTAAATGTTATGTCAAAAGTTCTGCGAGAATAACTTTTCNAATTAAACACTGCAAAGCTCAATTGACAGTTTATCAATAACTTAAATTGTTAAGCGTTGTGGCAACGTCAGTCTTTTATTTGCCATGGAACGGATTTTTGTAATTTTTTGCCTAATAACTTAAAGAGCAGAGTAATTTTCAAACTCAATTTACTCGAAAACCATTGGAAATATCGATTTGGACAAATTTAATATTTTTTACGTAAAATTGTTAAGATTTTATAAATCTGTAGAGAAAAAAATTGAAATAAAAAAAACTACGGGCCGAAAACCCCCTTCATCAACCTAAATGGGACGCATATTGTTTGCATGTCGAAAAACGGAGTAGCCCATGTTATTTAACGTAAAAAGTTATGTAAGACCCATAAATTTTTTTCTATTTATTTGCGACCGTTTTGTCAATTACAGAAAATAAAAACAATTTTGTTTGAGTCCTTTTAAGGGCATATAACTTCCTAAGGGTGCGTTTTAGGGCACATGTTAATAGGAACTTTTTGGCTTATTTTAATGAGTTATAAACGCAGCAGAAGTTTGGAACCCTATTTTAGAAACACCCTGTATATTTTTCTACTTGAAAATGAAAATTTGTCTCCCTAACAATGTTTATCTCCATTAGATATTCTGAAAGCTTCTAGTATTGTAGATAACGGCGATTCTAGTGTTGTATCAAATGTCCAGGTTAGAATTCTGAATATTTTTTTCGAAAACTAGGTTCGAAATGATTTGAGATTCGTGTTGAGCACTCTCAAAAATCGGCCGGAAAAATTCTGTGATGATTCGGGCATTTTACGTTATAGTAAAGTTTTCATCCACAACACGACATACACTTTTCCAGTCTGGAAATATTAGAGTACTTGCTGGCCAGGGATGGCATAGACGTGGACGCCAGGTCATCTGAAGACAAAACGCCCCTTTTCCTAGCGACCTCGTTAGGCCATATCGAATCAGTGGAGAAACTGATCCGAGCGGGATCCGACGTAAATATCTGCGACCACCAAAACCTTTGCAGGGGGGAGTACCCTTTGCACATGGCGTACCATCCGGACATCTGCCACCTCCTTATACGACACGGTGCCCGAATCGATGCCGTTAACAGATATAATAAAACGTTGCTACATAAACTGATGGAGCACGGGTCCCTGGAAGTGGTGCACATGCTGCTGTATTACAACGCCGACGCCAACGTTCCTGACGAAGACTGCCACACTACCTTTATGGCAGCCCTACACCACAGAAGATAAAACAATCAGAATTATAAGTTGGCGTGGTGGGGGTATTCGCGCAGATCGGTGCACGCACCCCCCACTTTTGGTATAGGAACAAAGTGGCGTAGTTACAAAAGCATTTTAGCCATTTTATGAACCTGTTTGTCGTTTGTTATCCCGCGCGTTGAGCATTGGCGTCGTTTTACGTNACTTGTCATTTTAGTTGCAATCAGCCCCTATAAAATGATACGCCACTGCCCATGAGGGAATGTAAACACAACTTCCTCACCCTTCCGATGAACTATTTTGGCTTCAAGCCACATAGGTATAAATTATGTATCTGTCTTTTCTTGATCTGTGATTATACCCTTCTTATTGATAGTTGGAGAACCTCTCACAGAGGACGCTCCCATCTAAAATTATGTCATCTAGCCATCTCATTCTAATTCTTGTTTTCATGTTTGAGTTTGACAGACACAGTGAAGTGTCAGACAGTTTGAATTTTGTGGTTTAATTTAAGCATTATATCTATAAATATTTATAAATATATGGATTTGAATAACGTCAGGACCCATTTTGTTGTGTCCATAATTTTCTGCTGTATTTTATCATATTTTCTTCCTTTTTCACAGGTAAGATATTTATGCTGCAAAATTTTCAAATTTCATATGCACACTGCACACCAAGTTTAGGCAATGTAAAATATAGAAAATATATGTAGAATTGTAATTTAAAATTTCTAATGTTATGCTTTGTGTTGATTAGTAATTATAAGCTTTTCTTTTCACTATTAATTACCCTCAATACTAAAAGGAATAAAGTATACTCTATTTTGAATTCATTAAACGTAACTATATTTTATGTATTATAGACAGCTAATTATGTTAAATTTATATGAGAGATTAAAATAAATATATACTTAACTGGAATTGATTGAACATCTAGGAGTTTTCTGAAACATTTGATACTTGTATACAAGATATCCATACATTTTCATATTAAACTTTTGTATAAAATTCGATAATGGTACAATTTTTATTTGGTTATACCTGCTACAGAATGGTGAGATTTAGGAAGTGCGCTGTGAAAGGATGTGGGGGCACTCAGTCTACTAGGCACTGATTTCCTAACTCAAAAAGGAAATGGGAAGGTTCCAGAAATGGGTAGAAGCTTGTGGCAATAGGTACAGCTTTAACAACCTTAACACCCGATCTTATATATCGATCATATAGTTTGTGTCACATTCAGTTCAGAACTGAGGATAAATCCACAAATATGTATTTTCAAAAGGGAAATCTCTGGAAAGGTAGTCCCTATGCTACACTTACCTTTTCCTGCACCACCTATTGATAGTTTAGAAGTTGACATACCAACATCCACTGTTACCCATGGTAAACAATTTAAAATTGTAATATGAAACTATTTGTTATATATAATTTATAATTTTCAGAAGTTATCGACGATGCATTTCTTGAAGAGCAAAATGTGCCGTTACATGTCTACAGCAAACAAACAAACAAAGATAGCCCACGATCAACCAAGTACTTCATCAGTTGAAGTAATCGGGGAACATGCTAGTACTTCATTTAGTGAATATCGAGAAGTGATATGTACAACACCTGTAATGGATAAGCGTAAGTTGATTTGTTATAATGATGTCAAATTTGTCCGTATATAAATAAAAATGTACCAATCTGAAATTCAGGTACACGGTATGTTCTTGTAAGATAATAGTAATGTAATTGTCATGAATGCGAGATCTTATTGTAATATATGCAGATATATAGGTAGGTATTATGTATAATCTTTGTAACCTGAATATTATGGGAAGTATGCGTTATATTATTATTTTTATGTAATTGTTGTACACAAAGTACCTACAATATTATATATTCATTATATCGGTTAGTGATAAAATTAGATGTTATTCTTGTTTGCTTTAAGTTTCGTTTTGAAAGTTTGTAACAAGATATAACTACTAACAATAATATATATTAACGTTTATGTTTTCGATCACTTTAAAATCTTAATAAAGCAGCCATATGAACATGCGCGAACTTGTAAACAAAATCAAAATAGTCGACAATGACGGACAAATTTGAAAATATTTGAACCACCGATTTGAAATTAAGATGTATACTATATAAAATATGGTTACTCGTTAGATTCGTACTTTTAGGAATTTTTGGAATCGTCTCGATATGTAACAGTTTATATGTTTACATCATAAGTGCCCTCGTCTTTATTTTAGATGTGTGTTAATGATAATATAATGTACTGCAAGATTATCTACTTATAATAGTGTGTTTGTACTGTTTCTTTTTTACAATAACAATAAATAAGAAGTTATAAATTCTGATTGTCCCTTTTATTAACGTGAATGAATGATCCAAGGAAATTTGAACTACCTGCATACAAGAATAATATTTGTTGTAATAAATGTTATTTTTGTTTTTCAGGTTGTTCTAATTTCTTATTGGATTTGGTAATTTACATAAAATTAAATAATTATTATTATTGCCGCTTGTAGGTGGGGGGTGTTTAGTTGGAGAACTTCTCACAGGTGGTGCTAAACGCATACTTAGTTTAATACTTGGCAGATTCATATCTAAACCTCTGTAATCTATGCCCCCCATTTAGAGCTTGGGCCTACTTACGAATCATATATTCCACGATGCCTAAAACAGAAATTCGATTTGTTAGAAGTTTCTCTCGGTAGGTACTGTTTAAATAACTTTCAGAGATATAAAAAATAAAATAAGACATTAATAAATTAAAACATATCGTTGCATTAGTTTTATCAAAGTGAGTTGAGCGATGAGTCTCAAAAATAAATACTTCGCGCCATTATTCTATGGCTAGAAATTGGCCTCAATGATTTGGGATCGAGGGGGATTATCCCTCTTTATCCTGCCTCATCTCGTGTAGGCCTGGACAGCCTTCGTAGGTGGGCCCCATCCGTCGTCTACCCCGACCGCAAATGCGGCCGGTGTAGGCGCTTTGTGGGACCTCCTTTTGTCCTGGCTGGGCCCCGCCGGCTAGGGCCCTTTCTTCTGGCGCTCTTCTTGCTTCGCCGGCTCGTCTGTGTAAACCCCGGGGGTAGTGTCATGTTTATGTGTGGTATGGTTGGGTAGGGTAGTGCGGCTATGCAGCCTGGGATGCGCTTTGCTAAGGTGGCCCTTAGGCTAGCGCG